ATTTCCACATTATTTTCACGGATATCAGGTTCTGTTACAGCTTTGGCTGCATCTGTTTCCAACCATTTTTCAATTCCTTTGTCCTCTAGCACTACTTGTAGCCGGAAATACCAATTGCTAAATTCTCGTCCATCAAATTGTCGGAACACAAATTTTTCCTCATCTGCCATTTGATTGATGTGTAATGTAATTCAAATTTCTAAGTTTCGGCTCACAAACGTTTTTCTTCAAACTTCACCAAAAACCAACCACTTCACAATGTGCTGAGATAGCCCATAACCTCTTGTTTTAATGTGGAAGATGAATACAAACTAATTCAATCAAATGATAACTTTCTATTTTATTTATTAATTGACAATTACCCTCAGCCGACTACTATCTATACATTCTAACACTTATAGCACTACATTTGGAATGCTTCTATCCTACATACTTTTACTTTTTCCTAATATCCATCCCGAATCTTTAAGCAGGTTCCGCTTTTGTTCAAATGCTTTTTACCACCCGAACTTTGGTAAGGGAGGTATTACAGGGGGTTAAAAAAAGGCTCCCTCACTTTTTTGGAAATACACGTTTTTAAGCACCCAGGAATCTGAATCAAACAAAATCTCGATGATGTTGGTCAGTCGGTCCATCTGTATACTGTCATTTCCGTCTAAACGGCTGAACCGATTTGAACCAAATTTGGTACACATATTCTTAGACATAAAAGAAAGAGCTGAAGAGCTTTTGGGTAGAAATCCTGCTTACTCTACTTATGGTTTCTATGTAGATTAAATATTGCTGGCGATAGCCCTGTCTGACCCCCCTCTGCATCTTGGCCGCGGCCTCATATCACTCTACGTTAATCACCGCTCTCTGTTCCCTTTCTATACTATCTCCTAGCTCTGCCATTATCGCAAATCAAATGCTTTTTCTAGATCTACGAGCCATATAAGTTGTTTTTCCTACTCTTAGCTCTCCTCTAATATTGTCCTAAGCGTTAATACTCGTATAGCTTCGCGCGTGTCACCGTTTTTCCTAAACCCGAACTGGTCATCCGCCAGCTTCCCTTATTCCTCTATCCTCTATTCTCCTATAAGGAGATTATTTTAGCTAGTTTTTTTATGCGTGGGCCAGTAAGCTAATTGTCCTGAAATGTCCGAATTTTTCTACGTCTCCTTTCTTCGGGATCATAATCAACCTACCATTTTGAAGGTCATCCGGCATCTGCCCTCTGTTTCGTATATATACTATTTGATAGTTTAAAGAGCCTATGCAGATGCTGCACGTTTGTTCCCGAGTGTTTTACTAATTCTGCTGATACTGCATCTGCTCCTGTTGCTCCTTTATAGCTTTGTCGAACTCTGACCTAAGTATACTAAACCCTATAGTTTTTGCCGTTTAATGTTTGGTTGCTGAATTCAGCTAACGGTTCTTATTCTGCCCTATAATACCTATAGTTGTTCTACGTACTCTTCCTATCCCTCTGATCGCTCTCCCTAAGGATCTATGAGTTCTTCTCCGTCTGCACCCCCTCCCCTAGTAATTATAAATTCTACCCTCCGTTTCCCCCTCCATCGTTCGTGTCACGTTTCCTTAAAATTGATTCTTCCTCCTTTAATTCTTAAGGTTTTCTCTTTTGTCAAATTCTCCTTAAGTTTCCCACATATTCCTGTTAAGCTTCCACCAATAATAGTTGCCAAATTTGTTTTAAGGTCCCATTAAATGTATTCTTCATAGTTCTTATGAATTAGTCTTGCCCCATTTACCTGCCACGGGTCACGACAAGTACGTCTCTTATTTCAAATATGGTCACTTGGTCTCCCCCACCGTATTTTGTTAATTTTTAATCCAGTATCCAACGCACACTCTTCTCTGAAACCGCCCCATTATATGGTGGCTAGAGCAAGGTAACTTTATACCCCCCTTTTGAGCCTCTAAGGTTATATTGTGCTTTTATCTACAATCCACCACTGCATAAAAAGCACCTCTCACATTCCCCTCAAACCTTGCTTAATCCCTTCTTAAATTTTCCTGTTTTTCACTTTCTCTGTTCAAATGCACCTCAGTTTCTGTCAGAGGTGGGTAAAGCCCTCTTGAAAAGGGCTTGAAGCACTAAGCACCGAGCAGGCGAGCACTTTGTTTTGATAAAAGTGCTTGCAAGCCCTAAGCACTTTTATGTGATTAAAGAGCTTGGAATTACCAAGCACTTTCTAAAGTAATTGAAAATACAAAGCACCAAGCCCTTGGAAAGTGCTTGAAGCCATTTAAAGTGCTTGAAGCCATTAAAAGTGCTTGAATCACAGTAATTGACAATATAAATTAATATAAATATAAACAATATAAAGCACCTTTCATATTACTGGAAACCAGGGTTTCTAGTCTATAACTTTTGATTGAGAAGCTGATCGAAAAAGTACAAATTGATTTGGATTCTATGCACCCAAATTAATAAGAAAAAGTGTTTTTCCGAGAAATTTTGATGTAGTCGATTTTTGGTAAAAAAGGAAGGCTATACACTGCCTTTTTTTGAGCCCCGAAAAAAAAATTTTCTCAGATCGACCCGGAAAAAATATTTTCTTATAGAATGTGGCCTGTAGAATCGATAACTTCAAACAGTTCCAAGATTGGGCTACTAGTTCAAAAGTTACAGCCCTTTGAATTTTTTTTCCAAATTGGTTTCTAGTCTATAACTCTTGATTGAGAAGTCTGATCGAAAAAGTACGAATTGATTTGGATTCTACGCACGCAAATTAATAAGAAAAAGTGTTTTCCCGAGAAATTTTGTTGTAGTCGATTTTTGGTAAAAAAGGAAGGTTATACACTGCCTTTTTTTGAGCCCCGAAAAAAAAAATTGTCTCAGATCCACCCGGAAAAAAATTTTCTTATAGAATGTGGCCTGTAGAATCCATAATTTCAAACAGTTCCAAGATTGGGCTACTAGTTCAAAAGTTACAGCCCTTTGAATTTTTTTTCGAAATTGGTTTCTAGTCTATAACTTTTGATTGAGAAGTCTGATCGAAAAAGTACGAATTGATTTGGATTCTACGCACCCAAATTAATAAGAAAAAGTGTTTTCCCGAGAAATTTTGGTGTAGTCGATTTTTGGTAAAAAAGGAAGGTTATACACTGCCTTTTTTTGAGCCCCGAAAAAAAAATTGTCTCAGATCGACCCGGAAAAATAATTTTCTTATAGAATGTGGCCTGTAGAATCCATAATTTCAAACAGTTCCAAGATTGGGCTACTAGTTCAAAAGTTACAGCCCTTTGAATTTTTTTTCGAAATTGGTTTCTAGTCTATAACTTTTGATTGAGAAGTCTGATCGAAAAAGTACGAATTGTTTTGGATTCTACGCACCAAAATTAATAAGAAAAAGTGTTTTCCCTAGAAATTTTGGTGTAGTCGATTTTTGGTAAAAAAAGGAAGGTTATACACTGCCTTTTTTTGAACCCCGAAAAAAAAAATTGTCTCAGATCGACCCGGAAAAAAATTTTCTTAAAGAATGTGGCCATAATTTCAAACAGTTCCAAGATTGGGCTACTATATAGTTCAAAAGTTACAGCCCATTGAATTTTTTTCAAAATTGGTTTCTAGCCTGCTGGAAACACTTTAAAAAACACGCTAGAAACAGTACTTCCGTATCGTAATTATATTGGAGGAATTAGTGGTTTTATCGCTAAAGTTTTGCTTGTCCAAATTTTCGTTTAAAACGATTAGGTAAACAAAAAAATGTTGTTATCGGTACAGTACTCTCCCCGTACCCATGGGTAATGACTAATGTAGAAATAATAACTGCATGTGCTATAAAAGTAGGTACCACAAGAAAAAAATCCAGAATGTTGCTGGGAAATTCCTTGACACTTGTTACTTGTAAGTACGTACCTACCGAGACGTATCTTCTGAAATAATTGAAATTAGTGATAGTATTACGTGAAGAAATGCACAGAGAAAATTTGTAAACTTTTAGTAGGTATGTACAATACGAAAAACAAGAAGTCAAAAGTGGGATGTGCAGACTGCAGACTAGAAGCACAGAACACGTAGGTAACGTCAGAGTAGGCGTGAAGGAATGAGTAAGACTAAGGGTTTTCTAAATTCGTCACCTAATTCACGATAAGAGCTTCGTTATGAAAGTGCTTGATGCTTTTTGTAAGTGCTTGAAGCCCTTAAAAAGTGCTTGAAGCCCTTAAAAAGTGCTTGAAGCCCTTAAAAAGTGCTTGAAGCCCTTAAAAAGTGCTTGAAGTTCTTTGAAAGTGCTTTAAGCTCTTTGAAAATGCTTGAAGCTCTTTATAAGTGCTTGAAGCTCTTTATAAGTGCTTGAAGCCCTTGATAAGTCCTTGAAGCTCTTTAGAAGTGCTCGAAATTGTATAAAAGAGCTTCAAGCAGTTCAATAAGGCTTGAAGCTCCAAGCACTTTTAAAAAGTGCTTGGTAATTGAAGCACTTTTTCCTGAATTAGAAAAGTAATTGAAGCACAGAGCTCTAAGCACTAAAAGTAATTGAAGTCCTTTAGCAAGCACTTTTTTTCAAAGCACTGCCCAGCTCTGGTTTCTGTGATGTTTTGCCCAACATTTCTTAAGTTACTCTAAACTTCCGTTCGATTTCTTCCTTCAAACTCATCTGCACTACTTCTCCTTAAGCATCTTCATGTTTATCTTCCCTCAAGCTTAAGTGAAATTTTATTGCTACTTTTTCCATAGTTCTTTCTAAACTCAGTGCAAGTTCCTCTGTATCTTTCCCAGACTCCTTCAAGTTCCTTAAACTGCAGTGCACATAAGATCTTGTTATTTATACTGCTAACTTGCAGTACAAGTTACTTGCTAAACGCCTAATTTGCTTGCACAGATGTAACAATAATATTGCCAGCCATCTCCATGGGCAAATAGTGCCATTTACCTACAACTGGAGGTTTGCTAAAGGTAAAGCTCTTCATTTCATATTTTATTGTCAAAATACATTTGCTATTCATAAGCAACATTAAGTTATGTATACAAGGAATTATTGGTGCAACTAAAAAGATGAATACAAAGCAAATTTAATGAGACACTTAATTTACATAGCCAAATTTCAGTCTGTTTACTGAAAACCAAAGGGTCTACCATAAATAAATCACAATTTTATTGTTATCCTACATACTAACTAAATATTTGACATTTTGAATAATTCAAAGTAATCAACAAAGTAATAATAAATAACCAAGAACATATTACAGGTAGCCTCGTATAGCCACCCATACAAAATTAGCTATTAGGATTTTTTATTTAAAATGGATATTCCTAATCCCACTGCAGCTCCGATAGCTAACACTACACCACCGGCGACCGCCATTCCCATCAGCCCCTCCTTGTCCATTTTAGCCTTAATCGTCGTTTCCAACGCTATCACTTGCGAATTACCAGGTTCAATGTTTAAAAATGAGCGTACGTACTTTAAGGCCTCGGTGTATTGCTTTATTCGCGCGTTGCCAATTGCTAAGTAGTACAGATAATCCCTCTGGCCCTCCTCGTGCGTTCGAAACAACTCCTGCAGTAAAAATATTCCCTTTTTTATGTCGGCCGGATACTTGCTGCGTACGAGACACCAGGCGTATTCGAATTGTGCTTTCGGGGTGACATCCTGCTTGTATAGTTGCTCGTGATATGCCTTTTCGAATTTCTGGAACAATTACAATTTATATGAGGGCAAAGGTTAGCTTTAATTGTCATTCGATCATGGCTGTTTTAGTGGCAGGTGTTGCATTGTTGTCTTTCTAATGGATATTTCAGTTACGCTTTCGCAAATGTTAAAAAGAATTAAATCCAACTTTCGTAAGTTACTTACTTTTAATTCTTCGGCAGGAACAGTCTCTGTTAGTACGTCATCCATTTTATTAGGTTTTGTTTATAAATTTGTCGATAATGTAGATTTTATACAAGCGGGATTATTCCACCTCCCGAAATAGTGTATTTAATTCCTATGACTAGACTACCATACGAAATGATTTACTCGGACTTTGTATTCACTGCGTCATAATCCTCCAAAAGTTTCCTTTCGGTATCGGTTAGGACAGAACAGAAATTTGTTTCTCAGCTAAAAAGAATACTTTTCTACCTTCTTTTGTATTTCAATCATAGATGGGGCAACTACTGTTGCACTTACGAGGGCGATTTCATTAGTTCTGAACAACACAAATTAAATACAAGATAAGATAAAAGATAAAAGAACTGGATGTCAATTAAAATAAACAAGTCAGTAATTTGACATGTGAATCAACAAAATAAAATAAGTTACAATTCCTTACTGAAGTTTTCGTTTAGATCTACAAATTCCATTTCTTTTATAGTTTTATCTTAACAGAAGTGTGTCACTTTCAGATTCATAACCGTCTCGTTCATGGCTGCGTCATTCAATATTTTCACCTTAGCGGATATCCACCCTTCTGAGGTTTTATAATTCTTGTTCAAGTCTCCACAGTTCTGATAAAAACCTTACAAGAAGTGTACCCTGCCAAAGCGTATACCTAACATTCTCGTTCACAAATGAAAATCTCATTGAACACTTCTGTCTTGGCGGATGTGCACTTTTATCAAACTTTTATGAAACTCTCTTTCGCACCTGCAGAATTTTCTTAAATATTGGAACTTTGGAAAAGATGCAAGCGGTTAAATTTAATATGGGATAAATGTGCAATTATATGGACACTTTTAAGAATGGTATGGAAAAAAATATTGCAGGCCTGATTTATAATAAGCAAGAAAGAAACCCAATAAATATTATATGGGTTTGAAAGAGACATAACTTTACCAATGTTGACATTGTCAGTGGCAATCAAATATGCCATTGATACTAGCCTCACAGATCATACAACGAGCCTACTCAAAAGACGCATGAATGGCATCAGCATTTTTAGTCAGTTGTGTATATCTCACTTCACACTCGCATAATGTTTATTGGGTTTCTTTCCAGTTTATTGGCAAACATTTCTTCCATGCCTGTATATATTTTAATATTTAAAGGAAAGTATACCTAATTCTTGAATAGTGAATCAGCAAGCATTTTTTTTTGTAGAATCTAGGACACCTATGGAAAATTGCAGATTACGTAAATTGCAATTTTTATTGAAAATGTTGCCCGAACTGTCCCATATTGATTTTCTTTTCTTTCGTAATAAGAAATATTTTTTCAGGAGGACTGCATCCGTCGGCGCATTTTTTGGTTAATCAAGGGAGGGCCCAGTTCCAGGGGAGCTACTACAAGACAAGTGATCGAGCACAGAGGAACAAAATGAACCACTCACAGAGAGGCTACGTGGGTCAGGCATAGGCAAATTGGAGGAATAATGGATTAATTATTTGTTATTTGATTTGTTCTTACAACTTTCCATCTCAGTAATAACTTGTGCTCATATGTCATACAATTTAATATAACCCCTTTCTTTAAATATGTCTTAAAGGATAATGCTAGTAGTTTTAATTCTGTTTTCCAAAAGTTTGGCCAATTTTGCAGAAGCCTGCTTCTTGGTACATTCAAAATTTCTATCTTCAGAAATCTTTCCATTAGGTACCTATGCATTTTGAATAATCCACATTTCGCTTATCAAATATATTCAACCTACTTTTTCTAAATACTCGTAGAATGGAGAACTGTTAGAAATGTAAAACGCGTAACTTCTTCAGGAAAATGTCCAAACCTCCATTTCCTTACTAGCTGTCCAAACAGGCTTAAGGGGTTTAAATACGGAAACATCCTCCGGCCTTCGGCTGCGATCTATCAGTAAGTAGTGTTTGGAAATAGTGGCACTAAAATAATCCCATTTTTTTTTATGTCTTCTTAAATGGGAACGATGTCGCCATAACCGTTATATGTTCTTCTTCAAACGTAACCCTGTACATATGAATCTTCTTTATATTCTTTGTTATTAGCCGCAGTGGCAGAATTGTAACCGATGAGGTTGGCATCTACATTCTAAAGTGCGTTTTTTCTGCGAGTGGTGTGTAAAGCGTTATTTTATAGTGTCGTATTGGTTTGAAAATTGTATGCGAGTTGTTTAATTGTGCCCCCCGTGACAGACTAGCGGAGACAAACACCTCCCCGTGGTAACTTCGGGTATCTATCCGCAGACATTAATTATCGCCCCTTGAGAAAGGGCTTACGGTATTAGCCGACTTCGGTCGATCCGCGAACAGGCTAAGCAACCACGTTAGATACTTAGCTAGGGTTACCACCCCAGACTCCTCGATTCCTCAGCCGAGGAGGGCGCGTCCTACCTACCACGCAAAACTTTTTCCCAACCCGAACTGTTCCAGCAAGATGAGCTACAGCCCACACGGCTCGAGTCTCTATGAATGTTTTGAGAGAAATGTTCCCTCAGCCTCTGGTCTCTCTGAGGGGAATATTAGGTGGCCTGCACGCTCGCCAGACTTGAGCGTTTGCGATTGTTTCTTTTGGGGGTATTTGAAAGAAATATATATCGACGCTAAAGGGGTTCATCTTAGCGTTATAATTTTTAAAACGTAGTGTTACAAAATGTGGACTTTCACTTTATGATAAAAATATGAGCTTTTCCAGTATCCGAGACCATTAGTTTTTGATAATCTTCAAAACCGGGGAATCTTAAGTGCCCTGACTGCACAGCTGGTTACGCGCCAAGCTACAGCGGCGTGAGCGGTCAGCAACCCGTAACAACACCTCTCATGTTCACACAGCAGCCCCCACTCAACATCTTCGGCTTTTAAAACCTTCCTTAACTTTTGCCCAAGCTGCCAAGTTGATATTTCAAACCCACCGAGGGAAAATTGGGTGCTGGCTACGGCATACTTTAAACTGTTGGTGGAAAGGGAGTACATCCATGATATGCGATGTTTTTGATGTAACCCTTTCGGGATCGAATGTTTTTTGATCTACTAATCCACCCCTAAGACTCAAAAAAGGAATTGGACATGGCCACAACACGTGTCCAGAACGGTATCATAGACATGAGTAAACAGTGCATTTCCTTTAAAATCCCACATACGAGAGGTGACGGGGTAACCTATGGTGGGATAAGGATAACCGATAACGTGCAGCTCCCAAGGTCGTGAGACACGTCCAACAACTTTACCAAAATGACAGACCGGGGGATAGGTCGGCGGAATTGCATCACGCATACAAACGACTCCGTAGAGAATATAAATCTCTAATAAACGCTAAAAATAGCGTAAGTGATTATAATATTATATTACCCCCAATAGTTGTAATGATCCGTGGGACGCGGGGTATAAGATTATAAATTTCAATAAAGCTACTACTGTAACGAAGCACTTCTGAGTGGAGTTTACCGTTTCCGAGGTCCACCCTGTATAGTAACGATTGGTTTGGGCTTCGTTACATAGAAAACCGTAATTTCGAGAATTCTGCGCGATGCCATGGAGACCGTTCCTGTCGGAATTTGGAATTATTTTTGTAACCACCGAAGTGTCTTGTCCTGGAAAAGATGAAGGACAATTAATATTTTTTGGTTTCTGCACCGTTAATTGTTTATAGGCCGAAATCATGTAATTAACATAAACTTAATTATTGTAAAGAGTTCACGCGCTTCCGTTTGGCCTTTTGAGTATGTATACTTAGCATGCACTAATTAAATGAGTTACAGTAAAGGAGCACCTACCGAGGATATTTTGGTGTCAAATTTTGCGCGCTTAATTAACGAATCGATTTCCAGATGTTCGAGAATTTTAGCACGAACAGTAGCCAAGTACTTAATTAAAAATCGAATTGATTGGTTGCGATATTGAATGCGCGACGAGTTGGATATTCCCTGTTCCACTTGTACCAAATTGGTTTTTTTAATAAGGAAACCCCTCAATTTTGGACGGATCTATCTATCTTTTTGCGTTCTACGTGCCGAAAGTAAGTTTGATCTTTTGCCTGTTTGACTGACCTTTGTCCGACCGCGATATTAATTTCCGTTTTTTATCCGTTTTCCCGAATTTGCCCGCTATAAAATTTTCCTACACGCATTGCGACCGCCAGCAATACTACTTATATGGTGATGAGGTTTGGGGAAAAATGGGCTAGTTTCCCTTGTCGACTATGGTCGGTGTAGTGTCCCTAATCGCCGATATGGACCATAAAAAAATCCTGTCGGCGTTCAAGGTTCCAGTTACAATTCCTTATTCCTTTAATCTTTAGACTTCCAACTGTAACATCAAACGGGTTATTTAATTTATTATTAAAATTAATTTATTATAAACGTTTGTACGATAATAACAATAACAATAATAAATACCTAACTAGCTACCACTATGAATAAGTCTCGATAATGTAATTAATCCATCCTAAGTAATTAAACACCATTGTGTAGATGCCATATTTATTACGTCGTCCACAGCCATCTCCAAAGCTTGTTATTCCTTGGATCGAGTATCGGTTGGGTTTAGTTCCGTTCCGAGATGGGCACATAAGCCCTCCGCCACTATCACCTGCGCAGGTATCGGCAATGCCAGACGCCCAACCAGCGCAAAACATGTTTGTCGTTAAAAAGTACTTTTTGTACGATCTCGTGCAAGTTACCCACGGTACCACGGGTATCTGCAACAGAAACCGTTTCCCTACCGGAAGACAAGTACAAATCTTACCTTCGCCTCGTGTAACACCGTCGAACCGTACTCGTCACTGCTATTAAGCTTACCCCATCCCATGACGGAACACATCTCTTCAGATTCGGGTTCCGTAGTCGGCAGGCAAACAGGTGTTAAACTAACTGCTCGAGGTAATCGAAGGAGTGCTATGTCATTATCGACCGTTTGATGATTAAAACGGGGATGCGTGAATACTTTTTGGACCGTTAGCTCCAATTCTCGACCGTCGATGCTACTTAAATCGTGTTCGTTTAGGCGAACTCGTAGATAGCTTCTGACACAGTGACCTGCTGTTAAAATCCAGCGTGGTGCTATTAGTGTGCCGGCACAAAATACCTCCTGAAACGCAAAATGACTTTCAGCATTGAAGAAGATTTCATTTCTGCATGTGACTGGCAAAACTGAATTGTGAGGTGGAGACTCTTGGTTGGCAAAGAAATTGTTTACTACAGTAGCTCAGTTGAAAGAATTATTTTGTAAACAAACTGGTTCATTGAATCCATTCAATTTAATGGCATCAAATTGTTCGACCTTGATGCGACTGCCAAAAAGCTTATAAGTGGAATTACCTACTCTGTATCTATTGATAACAGCAACATGCCAAGGCCATTTGTACTTTTTCGCTTCTTTTCCACCGATAATCTTTAACATCTTCGTTTTTCGACGCGCTCTGCCACAATTAGGTTTCTTAACGTTAACCCGTTCATCCGTGCTTTGAACTTGTGGTGGCTTATTATTATACTCGTATCGTGTCGTGTCTAAAATTTGACAAATTTAATTGAACGTTAAATTTAGTCGACGAAAATAACCTATTCGTCTGCTATTCGTGTCCATTAAGTCTAACACATACCGCTCACATCTGGAATTGTCGTGGTAACAATACGCCCCTTGCTTTTGACGCTTCCTTTTCTTGCATTTTTCGGGTTTTCTGCACATTCTGTACCTGTACGTACGACATTTCTGGCTGCACTTTGACCATTTGGACCATTTAGTCCAAGTACGTCCTGGGAGTGACGCACCTCCTTTTCTCATATCGTCCTAAAATATCGCGACTCTGTTGAAAAAATGACGTAACTAGTAGTGCCAAATAAAAATAAATAGAAGCGGATTACGGTGTCATCTCAAATATGTTAGGCTATTAATAAATTTTGCAACATTACCGACCACCACTTCTGTTTATTTTGGCAAAATTCAAGCCCTTACGTCAACATGTATTATTCTAAAATCACCGTTCACTTGGCCTCTTCGGCGCCTTTGACATCGCCGCCTTGGACACGGCCGTTCTTCGTACAACTTCGATTGCTTGCACTTCGGGCTGATGCACTTCTTCATACGTCTCTGCAAACAATCCTCGCATCTCGACCATGGACTCCATTTTGTAAATAACGGATTCTTGGGACTGCCAGCGGCATGGTTTGAAGTCATCATTTCGTTTCGGAAACCTTGTCGGTGGTGGTCACTTTCAAATTCCGTGCTTAGATCATGGACGAGTACATGTCTAAATCTGGAGGGAATCTGTAACAATGGAAAGCTAAAATTCTTTCTATCGATTTATACATTGTGAAGCAAAAGAAAGCGTTCAGTACCTTTCCCGTCATTGGCATTTTTTCAATTAATTTGCGAAAGAAATCTTTAAACTCATACGGGTCTATTTGCCTGTAGTGAGAAAAATCGGTGGTTTGCAGGACCAGTGCAAACACCTATTATTAGTACAAACGCGGTACATTTTCTTTTACGAAAATTTCAATTTTCCGGGCTTCAAGAAGTTAAAGAAACAGAAGTAAATCATTTGAAGAACCCATCAGCGATTCGAATAGTAAAGAAATGGAACAACGTGAAATTTTAAACAACTCGATGACTAAAAGAATAGAAGAAATTGAAGAACTGGAAGAATTCGAGGATCTGGAACTCTGACAAACTTTTTTCTTCACTGTTTGGCGAGTGTCCTTGTTGGTCCATTAAGTGGAGTGGCCCGTTAATTTTAATTTTTGACCCTTACTATGACTTGCGATATCCATGTGATCCCGTAGTAATTAACCGTCCAATAAGTTTGACTTACAAGGCCGGCTCTCTTTGATCTCATGCAAATAAATCGAGATATTGGGTGATACGAACACAAGTTCATTCGTAATAAAATGGTAGCACTAATGGATTTACGTTTTACGTGGTGAAGCTTTTAGTAATCAAACATGGTTATGCACACCAAAGCATTACGTGCTCATAACTGATAATACAAATTTTTCTTACTCGATTTAGGTTTTTTGCGATTAATCTTTGTACGCTAGTGGCTTTGGCAAGGCACGAGTATAAGATGCTAATCTCTTAATTAGTAGAATTCCAATATCATTGTTTAATATGTATTGATTGAGTAACCCAAGGATATCGACTTATTTAGAATTTCTCTCAGTAGGTCAGAGTTAATGGTAATTTTATTGGTCTTGATTGTTTCTTAATTTGTTTGTCGGGTGCAAAAAGTAACAAAAACATTACTGCCATTTTTGCATTGTTAAGGGAGGAACCTCAAATTCAACTTTCTAGCTTGAAGGTGTAAAACAGAAGTGCAGTGCAACATTCCTAAAAAGGAAGCTTGATGATTGTCTGATAAGTTTGAGTAGACCAAGGATGAATTAATAAATTTGAACAAAACCATTCCTGTTTTAGACGTTAAGTAATCGATTTATTACAACAGCAAGGACATTTTTTTCATAAGTGTATTTCAATATAATCTATTATTACCATAGTCTGTGATAATTGATCAGTTTTGTTGGACGTAATTTATTGTATCAGTTACGCCTAAGGGAGGGTAGAAATATTTCGCTTTATGTCTTCGGAGTGCAAGGTGTGGTGAAGCGAATATACGACATGAAGTACTCCAAAACTGGACCAAAGTGCTATAGGGCTGGATCAGCTAAAGTTGGAAGGAATGCCTGAGCGCCGGGAACTGGCCCTAAAGGCGAACTGATTCAGTCAGTCAACGAAATTAGAAAGGCGACAGGTACGTGTCCAGCACTACCGGTACAAGGCTAGGGCCGAAGATGACAACAACAGGTAAAGGGCGTACACTGTCAAGAATGGTTTCTGTACTGCAAACTTGGGAAGGAAGATAAAGCCCTAAGGGAAATAGCTGCCCTAAAGGCTTGAGAGTCTAGAAAGCCCAAACCGAAAAAGATACAGTAACTGTGGAAGAATTCATTGCTGACGAAGAAGAACTGGCAAGAGAAACCGTTTGTAGGAAAGACGAGTTAATGAAGGATCTGAGAAGCAAAGATTACAAGACCCTTTTTTACGATTTTTTCGATATATATCATGACTATGTACTAAGTAGGTTGAAAGAGTAACGAAACGTGTTAAATTTTTGGCAGCCTTTTTAGTGTCCTGATTGCGAAAAACAGATGAAAATTCAAAAAATGGGAAAGGAATTAATATAATAGTAAAACATTCAAAATCTCTTAAAAATAACCCTAACTCAAACCAAAGAACGTCTTTTTTTGTTCAATATAAGACACTATAAAGTGGCAGGGGAAGAACTCCATTAGCTAGATTCGCAAGAAAATGTCTCCAAAAAATTAAATATGAAACCCCAATCAATTCTCTACACTAGAGCACGACGTGTAGCGTAATTTATGTAGAGGAATAAAAGTGTGCCTATGACAAATGGCTGTTATTAATTTTCATTATACGACTATGTTTGCCAAAACATTATTTTTGAGTACAATTACCTACGATGATGAAGCAAATCTACAACAGGGCTAAACATTTTTTTTGTACACACGTGTCATACCCACCTCTTTTGCATGTCGCTTATTAAATCGGCTTACTTATCAACTCTTCGTAATACACAGTAAAGTAAATAGACCACTTTTAACAGTCAAGGTAATCTGTTATCAGGACACAATTTACCTCACGCAGCGTACCGTACAAATTTAGTTTGATGTTAATACTTGACTCGAATGCTTTATCCTAAGCATAGCGACATTGAGGCAATATTAAGGGTGAGTTCTTTCAATGAGTAGTTTACCTTAGTTGCGATAAACAATTATTTAAAAATTATTCCGATGAGGGCGACCAGCAATTAAACCTAATCCGTGTGCCATCCATGGGTTAGGAATCTTCTCTTTGAATACCAAAAACGACTGGGGACATAACCTCAGAGTAGGAAGTTTCTTGCTCTGTGGACATAATCAAGTGTGCTCGCTACGATTATATGTCCGTCTGGCATCCATGTATCTGACATGGAGCTCAAATCATTAGCATTTTGCTTTACAGACTCGGTATAAGCATAAATAGGGTTGCCGAGGGAGTGTTATATAACCATATCAGGTGCTAGTGCTTGTGGTTGCAACTGGCTCTTCTTTGAGTAATTTTTAGGAACAGATTCACTACTACTGTTAAGGCTAATGATGGGGTACTTTTGATGTCTTGCATCCTAACGGATTTCGAGATCCTTGGCCAAAATTTATCGTTTTGCTTACAAAACGTTTTGTGTTCGTATCCTGACTACGAAATAAAATAAAATGAGCAGATCAAATTAGATCAGGATTATGAGCCTTTGGTTCAAGTGTGTACCGCTTCTAACTTACAACAAATGTTACAAAGTGTATAGAAAGTTGGGATCAAAATTTAAAACCTCAAAAAAATGTTGTACACAACACAAAATCACGACGTGTTTTTGTTTATGTACAGAAATGAAATTATTAATTTTCATTAAATTTTTCGAAAACATCATTTCCGGGAAAATTACCTATCATGATCAAATCTTGGTGTCAACACACGTGCATTTTGGTTATTAAATCGGTTGCCTTCAAAGATTAATAAGCGTAAAATATTTCGAAGCGATTTGAGCGTTTACTCATAGTTGTTGGTCACACTAAAGAAAATGACCTGTTTTATATTAGTCACGGTTATCTGTTATCAGGGGAGATTTTACACATAAAGTTAGTTTAACGTTAGTGTTCGACCCGAATGTATCATCTAAACCGTTATAGCGATGTTGAAGAAATATTAAGGGTGAGTTCTTTCTCTCACTAGTTTACCCTTAGTTGTGGTAAGGAATTATTTTACGTATAGGTAAATCAACATGAAATGTGAAAATTTAGCTCACTGCACATTCTAATCTGGTATGAATTTTACCCTTATATGAAATTATGGGATGGTGGGAAATTGCTTTACCGAGTTGAGCATAATATGGTGGCCATCAGTGCGACCATGAAAAATATTCAATTTTTACGGGTTTTTGCTTATAACTAGCCATCACCTTTTCCCAAATCACTTTTTTAAATTAAAAATGACGTGGTACTAAATTTTTGGAAAGAAAATAAAATAAATGCTGGTATTGGACAAAATGTAAGGTCCTGCGGACGTGTAGTTGACTTATGGGATACAAACGCTGTAAAAATTTTATTGCAATTTAGCAATTAGTAACCTTGTAATCTGTAACAAATGCTACCCCTAAATGTTTAAAGAACTACTTAACCAGAACTCAACCAAAATTGACATAAGTAAAAACGATATGCCCAATAATTAAACTAATAACAGCAAAGCATTGGCAGCGTTAAAAATATATTGAAGAGGAAAAGCAGGTTTATTTATTAGGCCAGTAGAATAAAACCATCAAATTAGACGAATCCGAATTAGACCCTACAAACGGTTTTATTGTTTTTATGTCATACTTGATTATTATTCAGTTATAATAATCCTAAATCAAGATACATTAAATGACAAATAATGCACTCCACCATGACAACCCCAATTATGCGTAGCAACGGGCGTTATTTCTATAACGCCCAAGGGCGTTATTTCTGTAAATCCTATAAATATGGAATAATGAATCTGTACGAACTTTTTATTTTCAACAACTAAATAAAATGAACTGTGTTGATGTCGCATTATCCTACTGTTATTCTTTGAAGTAAAAAGAACAATTCTGATGGGACTGTCCAGAGAACACCGCACCAGTTTGCCCCATACCCATACATTTTCTTTCTCCTTTGTACATCAGATACTGCGGATCAGGTGCTTCTGTAAGAAAAGACTATCTGTACGCGAGTAAGGATTTTTGATTTTTTTCTACGATTTTTCTGAACTTAATTTAATTACCCTTGTACCTGCACAAATTTTTCGAAACTCTTAATCTACTTCTTTACCATTACCTAACCCTTTACGTAGCATTGAAAATTTCGTCCAAAGCGAATTGGGAGAAAATGAGTCTGAGTGTAAATCACTTTTCCGTTTAATGACTAATAATAGTACATTATATATCAAGGTAGAGAAGTCCACTATTATTGCCTGAGCACCAAGATTACATCTCTAGGCGCTTGCGCCGAGGGGTGTAAGGTGCGAAGGCAATAATATACTTCTCTACCGTGGTATATATACTATTTTTTTCACTACTAGCACTTGAAATCCTCTAAATTAACATATTATATTGATAAGAGAGTTAACGGTTGGACAGAATTGTTTGTTTCTTAATTTAACATGTCAATCAAGTAAGTGGAAGTACAAGTCAAACAGGCCAT